TAGTGATACTGCCTCGGAAACCCAAGGAAGGTTCGCTATGAGTCAGGTCTGACTCAACGGCACATAACAACAACAACAATATCAAAATGTATCATAGAATTAAAAAAAGAAAAAGAAAAATGTTCTCAACAAAATGCATATAATAAAATGTGATTTCAGTAGTGAAAAGTATGTTTCTATGATCAGAAAGGGGCCTACTGACCTGGCAGTTAATACACTCTATATAGGATAGAAGGCTGTTTCCTTAAAGATTTACAAACTTTGGAGGCCGTTCTACTCTGTCCTATAGGGGCACTATAAGTCGGAATCGACTGTATGGCAGTTGGCTTATTAGTGGGTAAGGTGAAAATTGACTGCCTGAAAAGTTCCTGCTTGCATTGGTAAGACATTTGCCAATTTTTCATTCCTGCTTCTTTTGGTAACAGAAAATGAGAAAACAATGGCTGTTACTAAGCAGCTCTGCCTTGCTGCTCCTGCTTGTTACTCCTGCATCCTGCACTGTGACTAAAAAATATGAGTCTATACCTCTATAAAATTTGAAGAGTTAACATTTTGAGAACAGATAAATGCTTCCTTCTCCAAGGAACTCTGGTGGCATAGTGCTTAAGACATTTGACTGCTAACCAGAAGGCTGGCAGTTCAACCCCCCCAGCCACTCCTCAGAAAGAAGACTGGGCAATCAACTTCTGTAGAGATACCTCCTCAGAAACCCAAAGAGGGGCCACTAAGAGTCAGAACCAACTCGACGGCAGTGAGTTTAGTTTTGTTTTTTGGAACCTTCTACAGATGATTTTATAAAACTTCTAAGCTACTTGCTCCCTGCAAAAAAATGACCTATGAGCTAACTTCACTTTTCAATATTATAAAAAATGCTTAAGCTGTCAAAAAGCAAACTGGTATCTCTTAAAATTAAAGTGTAGAGTTTTATTGTAGGAATAAAAATGATTCAAACTGGAGAAAATGCAGAATCTATGAAATGAACTGAGCTCTCCAGGGAGGAGGATTTTTTATAGGGTTTATGTACAGAAAATTCAGGAACTTGCAAGGAAAAATTCTGGTGGACATTTAAAAATCATGCTTTAACAGTCACAAGACAATTACAAGATGTTTTAAACATTGTTTTTTTATTATAAGTATTAAATTGATTTAAAATCAAGCCAAACTCACTGCCATGGAGTCAATTCCAACTCGTAGAGACCCCATTGGGTTTTCAAGGCTGTAAACTTTATGGAAGTAGATTGGTTTATCTTTATTCTGTGGGAGCTGCTGGTGGGTTTGAACTACCAACCTTTTGGCCAGCAGACAAATGCCTTAACCAGTACACAACTTCTTCTTAAATGATGGATATCCTGGGGTTAGTCTGAGTAAGCATTTTTCCTGAAATTCATCTTGTGAAAAGAAAAGATGAAACCCTACAGGCTTCCTGAGGTATTCTGTCTAGGTGACTTTTGAAGGTCATCTCAGAATGAGCAGTAAACAACAAAATGGAGTTTAACCTGAATCTTGGACAGAAGCCTCCCCTTATGCCAAGCACATATTTTTGGGACTCTTTCACAAAGTTATTGACTTTGAATTAGATTTAATTTTTTTTTCACAAAATATAAAGTATGTTTTAGGTTACTTTTTTTTTTTTTTT